GAAGGGGTGCTGGCATGCAGGAAAACTCCACAGAAAAAGCCTTTACTACAGCGCAGAGATTTGTACCTGGGACCTCTGAGTACCTGAGGCACCGAGTAAATTTAAGGGGTCAAAAATATAACCAATAAACCCAGTCTTTTGTCAAAACAAAGTTAGAAACGCAGCCCCACGCATTCACTGGGGCACATCTGCCAGTGCTAAGAGACCACTGGAGAACCTGCCGTAAAATCCCCACCAAACGTGCAATACCAAAGAAGAAAAAAAATACAGGGGAGACTCCCCGTTCGCTCTGCCAAAGCCCTGTGAGGGAAGCTACACTCCCCGCAAGCCTCCCACTCCACACCAGCTCCTTTCCTCTAACGTTCTTCCCACGCCAGAGACTTCCAAGATGCCCCCGGGACTGGTGCTGTTGTTTTAAGAAGAGAAATGCCAAGTCTTACCTGAGTCTCCACTCTTGCTTTGTCAATTAAAGTCTTTGCATCGGCTATTAAGCCACTCATGGCACACCCTGGAGAGAGAAAAAAAAAACACGCATCGTTTCACCGATGATTTGCGATGCGCTCTTCCCCCAGACCTCCCAAAGCCCACGGTGAAATACAAAAGGCTGTGGGGCGGAGCGGGTCCCCGCGTGGGAGCGCGCAGCAGCATCGCACCGCAGCTTGCTGGAAAGGAAAGAGGATGGGGTCAAAACAGATTTGCTCAAGAGCAAGGATGGACGCCCAGCTGAAGGGCAGGTACTTCACCGAGCTCTCCCAGTCACGCCTCCCACCCACCCCAAACCTGAACCGGTTCAAGGAGCCACATTTGAGGCTTTCCAAGAGAAGCTAACGGACAGAAACACAACCTGCTGGGAAGGGGGAACTCATTCATCCCCTCCGTGGGGAGGGCTGGCTAAGCCATAGCTTGGGAGGATGCAGCTGGAGCCTCCAGCACAGATCCTGCGCCAGGAAGAGAGGGGCTGGATCGCAAGCACACGGGAGGAGGAAATTAGACTCTTCAAGAGCTCCTTCCGTGACCCGTGTCATCGGCAAGATGGGTATTTTGGAGGTCTCCTGCTTTTCAGGGCGACATATTTGGTAATGAGCCCGTCGCGGGCCCCCTCACGGTGCAGGAGGCTGCTGCGAGCAGGGGTACAGGCTAACATTAGTGCTCCGGGGGAAACTGGCCTCGAGTCAAGCCTTTTGCAGTAATTCCCTGCCCTCTCCGATCTAAATTTGGGATGAGCTTTCATGAGGGAGGTCATTGAGGTGGGGGGGTGCTTCAGCTGCCTCTTCCTGCTCCTGTAACTATGTCCTGCTGGCCTGGAGCCTGGAAAACCAGTGACCAGGACCTGGTGTTCACTGGGAGGGATGAGCGTTCCCGCTCAGCTCGGCAGAGCTGCCTGCGGGGAAGGCTAGCCCTGAAACGCAGCTTCTGAAACTCCCAGGGGACAGAGTCTTATTTTTTATATCTATCTATCTCCAAAACATGAGGGATGCTCCCAGGGCTGTACCAGAGGAGCACCCAAAGCTCCTCTTCTTTTTCCTTACCTATATGGGAATCGATTTCTACAATCTTCTCGATGCTGCTGGGTTCCATGAGCGGGGAGGTGATCCTCTTCTCCACAGCCAGGCAGACGCCCTCGGAGGTCTGGATCCCAATGGCCGTGGAGCCAAGCTGAAAACCACCACGCAGTTAACCACCGCCGCGGGGTCTAGCCGCGACAGCTCGCGTAAATATAAGCGGTGCAATGCTGATTTTGACTTATTTGTAGGCGTTTTGTTTTGGAGACAATCGCATCACCAACACAGAAACCCACCCGCAAGGCGCTCTGGCTTTGCACAGCAAATTTTAAGTGTTATGACCTGAACTAGGAAACTGGAGAGGTTAAAGCCGTGCTACTTCCCAGCTGATTAGTTCATCGGAACCCAGCAGGGCTGCTGCAAGTCATTAATCTCTTCCCTGAGCAACATCAATTTTTACAGCTTAAAGCCTTTTGAATTTAAAAGGCCTTGCAAATCTTCCTTTGCAAGAGAGAAATTAAATTTTAAAGAGAGACAGGAGGATTTCACACAACGGCCTTAATTCTGACTGCATCTGTACTTCTGGCTTGAGCGTTTTTTTTTCCATTAGCTCTTTTTCTCCCAAGTGTCCTCGTACCCACAAAATTTACAACAGGAACGAGAGCATTTTGCTCGCGTACCATTTTCCAGGCAGCAGTTAATCACCCACAGCCAAGACCGCAGCGAATTTTACCCTTGTCTTGCAGGACACCGCGGTGTCACCACGGCCACGAGCCCAGCCGAGGTGGGGGGCCCAGATCTCAGGGGCTCCCGGCAGCCCCTACCTCGCTCCCAGCACTTGCAGCTTTTCCATGCTGCGGAATTTACTGGAATAACTGTACCAGCTGCAGCGTGGAGATGCTGACTCCAAATACCCAAATTCAGGCTACACGGTATCATTTTAACGGCAAGCTTCCCCAGGTAGCTACACCTATAGCCACAGGCCTGGCAGAGGGGAATCCCCCCCGTCGCAGGCACTCACGGTTTTAGACATTGCCCAACGCTCCCATCCTTTAAGCGCGCAGCCTGCCGCAGCTGCGCACAAACCCCAAGGGAAGAAGGGACGCCCGATGTCATTTCAGATGTATTTTTGTTGATGAAGCTACAGCAGATGAATAAAAACTCCTCCTACAGCCCTGACGCCCGGGCACCGCACGTAACGTGTCGCAGGAGCCGCCCGAGCTGCGGCGATTTCGTTGCTAAGCTTATGGGCTGATCTGGAAGAAAGGGAGAAGCCAGAAGGCTTCCGTATGATTGCTACTCTCACAGATGTATTTGTAATTATAAAGTCAGCATGGTGACTGACATCCTTCTGAGATTTTTTTTTACTTCCCCATGCCTTAATAAGCATTATTACTTTTTGCCTCCTCATTTAAGTAGTGCTTCAACGAGCTAAAGCAGCACAGGGAAGATAAAGCCAGCACCCTCTGTTTCCCCAGTCCAAACACAGGCCTGCTCAGAGCATCTTCGCTTCACCACTCGACCAGTCTCCCCCAAGTTTAAACTTATTCCCAATCAACGCCCATATTCTCAGAAACTAAATTATCTTAATTTATCAATTAAGAACACTTAACACCCCAGAAAGGCCACTTGGCTCTGCAGAGATAGATTAGTTTGCTCATAACAACCTTTACCTTCAGGTTTAAAAATTCACCTGAGCAAACAGTGACCACTCCAAGCTGCAACAGCGGCGAGCTAAGAAAAGGAAAGTTGACCTAGCGAGAGAAAAGTTGCCACTTTGGGGTTTTTTAAGGAACTCCATCTTTATAAAGCATTAGCTCAGGGAGGCAAAGAGAAAGCAGAGCGCTCCTCTGCTCTTTAGACAAGCGTTTATGGACATGAAGCGCACGACGCGCTGGCAGCGTGAACTTCTGCGGGCAGAGCCACGGCGTACGGGCATCCAGGACCTCTCGCTTCAACATTAGCTTCTCATAGGTTTGATTTGGGGATCAAAAGCGTCATTAGCATCTTCGGATTGTGTTTGGTTTGGGGGCAAATCAGCTGGTAGGAGAGAGGGAGGGCAACATTCCTCTGCATTTTGGGGGAAATCGATGGCTTTTGACTCTTCACGACCCATAGAAGAGCAGAGTTTCAGGAGGTTTGGCTGGATGGAAAGAATCGAACGCTGGCACGCAGCTCTCCCACCACAAACCGTAGGTGAAAGGCTGCCAAAGAGCTGCCAGAGCAGCGCCTATGAGGAAAGGCAGCAGCTCCGGCTCAGCGCTGCGTACTGCCCTGGGAGCCGGCCAAACCCTGCAGAGCGAGACCAGAGCCCGAACGAACAGAACCTGCCCGATTTATTTCTGACCAAACTCAGGCTTTGGGTTTGAAAGAGCCCTTAACGGCACAGTTTGGCAACCGGAGCTGACGATACCTTTATGGCCTCGATGGCATACTCCACTTGGAACAGCCTCCCCTCCGGAGAAAAAGTGTTCACACCCCTGCAAGAACAACATCAGAGATGGCGTAAAGGACAGGAAACTGATGGCTGACGAGAAATGCAGGTCTTTAGTCAGAAGCAATGGTGGGAAGGGCGATGCCAGGGACAGGTAACCTAGGAGGGGCAGCTGGAAGACGTCACGGCTCCCCCGGAGGCCGTCACCCTCGGAGCCGACACACGCAGGGTCTGGATTCAGGATGCCAGGGTCTGGATTCAGGATGCTTACGGAGAAAGGGAACAAAAGGAAGGCCAGCAGGTCTAGTTACAGGTCGGGAGGAGGTTTGTTTCCACAGCACACTTCGCACCGTGGATGCTGGAAGCCTTCGGACTCCAAACCGCCTGCCTTCTCTCAGCACCAGGAGACAGCAGGATTTTGTTGTCCCAGCGCAGGCCCGTTCCTTTCTCTGGACGCCCCATCGCACCCCATCCCTCCCCACACGCCAGCCCCATCTGCCGCCCTCCCGCCCCACCGCACAAGGCGGGGGACACCCTGCCCTCCCCGCCGCACCCACCGCGCCGGCGGCTCCATCCACACGCAGAACCCTCCGAGGGATTGCTTAAAAGCCCCCTGCTTTCGGGAGGCATTTAACAAGATAAACTACAGCCTCATGGGACCACCCCCATCACTGGAAGCCTCCACGGGACGTGCCCTCCCTTCCCCTGTATTTAACAGAAATGCGCTCTCCTAAAACCTAAAGAAAGTAAAAATAAAGGGAAGGGCCCGCCGCCGGCAGGGGGCGGCTGCACCAGCGCCCGGCGAGGCGGGAACCCCCACGGCCCCGGGCAGGGGGACGAGCAGAGGCCCTTAGGCAGGGCCCAGTCCTCCCCGCCATCTCCTCAGAGCATCCCCGCGGCGGCCGCAGGCGAGAGGCGCCGGCCAAGGCCTAGCGGGATGGGGATGGCGGTGACCGGCCGCAGGCCCGTGACTCAGCCGCAGGCCGTAGGGAAGAGGCCGGACGAGGGGCGGCGGGGGCGAGCGGGAGGGCACTTACCGGTCGTACTCGGAACGTGTGAGGAACATGGCGATGGCGGCGGGGGAGCGCGGGGGGACGCGGGGCAGGCGGGCGGCGGAGGCGGGAGGGCCGCGCTGCCCTCGCCCGGTTCTGCTCCGCCGCTTCCTGTCAGCGAGCGCGCAGGCACCGCCCCTTCCCCTCCACTTCCCCCCGCGCCGCCCTTCCAT